TATGCGAAGACCCCATTCCTACCAGGAATTCATTTAATGCGACCAAAATTCAGCCTTATGCAAGTTGATGTATCTGCTTTTATTGTTAAGTAATGTACACTGTACTTTACACTTGCTTTAATATTTATTATTTAAAAAATAATATTGTACTGATTTGTTTTGTGGTTTATGTCAAGAAAATGGGTCTGGAACATTTTCATTTTGGGTTGTGAAACATATCCCATTTTTTCCCATTTAACTAAGTATTTGATATACTGTACTGTATGCGATTTTGATTTATGAGTGAGTTTTCAGGAACGCATCCCCCACATATATCGAGGACTTACTGTATAAGAACGAATAACTTCATAATTATTGTTTAAAGAAAATTTTTGTAAAGTTCCTGCTGCTGCTGTTATTATTAATGTAGATGAAATGTTCAGATGACATTGATGACACATCCTGACACTGAATCAGGTAAACAAAGATGGTGGTGGTATGCAACATCAGCATCAACTGCTTAGGTATTTCTCGAAGAAAAAACAAACTTGGAAAAATAAATTAAGAGGAACCAGGATATTTCTCTACCTTAATGTGCTGTACTCTTGAGCTAAGAAATAAGTTTTCTCCTACCAATATTTTCCCTCAAGTGGCTGCATAACCTGGGCGACTGTTCTTTAATTTACTAAAAATACATTAAATACAGCCTACGTAGAAGAAAAAGAGTTTCCTAAATGCAAGTTAAATTGGTTTATTTATGTGCATTGTGATATTTGGTGAAATTAGTATTGTAAAATCGAATAAATACCCCAATACCATGATTATCTTTATTGATATTAATAAAATATTATTATTTTTTAATAGCTTTAGAAATTGATATTGGACAAATTAAACTAAAGATTTGAGGCAATTTATGCCATATATACTACTTGTTCTTACAGGCCCATGTGTGAATCAAGAGCATCTGGCATAAGGTACTTGAAATATTTAGTTTAATTTGACCAATAATAATTATAATGCTACGTGAAAACAATAATAATATTTTATTAATACATATTAATATAATTAAAGAACTAAAACAAACCAATTAAATTTAAGTGAGTGCTGCAATGTGTGGAAGCAAAATTTGATTAAGTGTTCTGGTAGACCTTGTGTAACATAGATGACCCAGGAAACCAGAAAATCATTAGGTACTCTTCGTTTGGTCTTGACCCCAAGGATCCTGGATTTGAGGATCTATACCTGTACTTAGTAACCAAGCCCAAAGTTGCTTCACAGGAAAGACAAATTATGATGTTTCTTTATACAAATGCAAATATTCACTTTTACCAATAACAATCACATTTTTGCACCTTTTTTCTTTATGTGAATACAGTATAAACATTCACTTTAACAAGATGTGCAGATGGATTTTTGCTCTACTGTACTGATACAATATTCATCATTTTCATTGTATGTACTGTATTTGTTCTTTACTATAATTTTTATATGACATACAGTGGTAAACTTTGCGTGACTAACATTTCCTTTCCCGGAACACAACAGCCAATAATACCAATAATACATGGGCTCTGCCATTCAATATGCAATTGCTTTCATTCCATTGGAATGTAACCTCAATATTATAATGCATGAGCTCTAACATATATTTTTCTTCTGAAAGACTGGATTCCCAGAAGTGTAAGCCCTTTCAAGTATTAGGGGATACGTCCTTGATATTATTTTCATTTTGTGCACCCCATCAAATATTCTCTGGTGTACTCATTACATTATTAATTGTAATTAATTGTTGTTTTTTAGACTGTGATGGATTACAGGAGGTTCACATAACAGCTGTGCCCTCTCCTGTCGTATTGTACACCTACCTCTCTTGCACTTCTTTCCTGGCTTTTTCCATATTTCTTGGGTTTGTTTCACATGATTCAAATCCAGTTGTGTGGGAGTAGAGGAAAGCTTATCAAGTTAGACAGAGGAAACATCCATCCCGATATTTGAACTCTCCCCTCTTCACAACTTTTCTGACAACATCTGACTTCTTCATCAGTCACTGTCTAAACATTTCCCTCACCTTTCCCTCTATAAAGACTTTCGTCAGCAGACTCATTAGTGAAGTTACAACAAATCGAAGCAGAACTCTCTGACAGTAACCAGCTCTATCAGCTAACCGGGAGGAGGAGGAGGAGGAGGAGGAGATGGTAGACGACCTGACTCCAACCACCCCGCAACCGTGAAGCGTTATGAATTTGTGAATTTGAGAAAAATTATAATATTAAAAATGCAGTGGACAGAATTGTTGAGGCATGGTGTAAAATTAATGTTACAACAGTGCTACATGGATGGGAGCCTTTGTTCGCTAACTCCGAGATAAGTGGGGCAGAGCAGAAAGAAGCAAGCAGGGAGAGGAAGTCCGTGGGGGCAACACTAATGAACACAGTGGAGGCAGCGCGCTCAGTCCCAGCACCGGGATTTTCAGATGTTCAGGTTGAAGATTTGCCCCAAAAATTTGGTCAACATCAGCAGAAACTGACAATTGAAGAAATGTTGGAGGAGTATGAAGAATAAGAACAACCACCACCACCACAAGAGGTTGACGTTAAGCCTGGTGAACCTACAACACGCCAGCTAACCAAGTTGCTCACAAACATCGCACGTTTCAGTGAACAGCAAGAAGAATATGATACCAGGTCTCATCCTCGGAACCTTATGTGCTCTGCCCCTACGAAGGTTATGGAGGAATATAAAGCCTTGTACATGTTCCGTGTTAATGCTTGTCAGCAGGCCCTTATTGCTCGGTACCTGTGTAAGGCCCAGCCTGTTATTAATACCTTGGCAAACATAACTTTTGGAGATGATGATGGCACCATTGATGATGATATTGAAGTGTTGGGCGACTTAATGGTGGAAGAGCTGCCTCAAGACTTTGACGGATTTGATGCCGAGGTTAGAGGAGGGAGCAGGGAGGAAGCAGTAACCAGCCCTTCCTATCTTGGAACCCATCAACCAGCCCCATCAAGCATTTCACTGATTCCATCAAGGTAAGTTATTCTACAGTACGAGTGTGTATAAATATTATCAACAATATGTACAGTATAATATGTATGAATACATTACTGTATGTCATTTTCTTGGTGGGTTGTAGGTCATTATAGAGGGGTTTGGGTGACACGGCAGAACTGATTAGGCTTATTTACATGCATTTCAATGTCATTCGTTTCGTAATTTTAACTTTCCCGACGCTAAAACCGGTACCAATTAGTTGCGAAACATGAAATCCTACCGTACATCGATATCCATTGGTTGGATTTTTTTATCTAGTGCGAATTATGGGTTGTATATACTCAAATTAATTGCCATCTTCCAAGGATTCCAGCGATGAAAATTATACTTTTCTAAGTAACTGACAATTTATACGGAAGCAATATTTAACCTCATGCATCACGCATCTCTCGATGCACTAGTCAGCCGCAGTAATATCTACCTGCGCGTCGTCACACGGCCAACCTGCACACTACAGTCCTGCATTTGGTACTTAGTCAATTGCATCTCCACGCCATCGTATAGCTCCATGATTATCATTTAGCATCATTGGCTGTATGTACAATCAAAGACAAAAATCGTGCCGCGGTTTTGTCCGAAGATTAAATATAACTCGTGAAACATTATGAGAGCCCCATACCATAAGGCAGAGCCCACCAAAAGTTTAGCCCTTCGGCACATGTTTTCACCAAATTTCACAACACGACTTGTGTCTTTCATTGTACACAGTACTTATCATTGTACAGTACTGTGCTATGGTGACTGTGAAGTGGTATTTTCTGTGTTTTTGTGACTGTAATGTGCTTCGCCACTGTTGTCGTGAAAATGATGTGAGCAGTGTCGGCCACTATCATTGTTTTACATTATCATCATTTGCTCTGTTTTTGTAACAAGTGTTTTTGTGACTGAAGTGAGCAGTGTAACTTTGAAAATGTCTGGAATGGCCAAGGCATTCAAGATAACCATGTCTCTGAGGTGAAACTTAACATTGTGAAGCAGCATGAGACTCCCCAGTCTGTGTGGGAGTCAAAGTCATACATGTGTGTTTGGGGACTGGCTGGGAACGTATCCCATTGAACCCCATGTTATAATGCTCCCTATCTGCAATTTTTCAGTTAGCATTGGGTTTTTCAGGAACTCATCAGCCTTGTAATGCAACTATAAAAGTTGTGGAAAATCATTACAATACTTCAATGTGGATTAGAAATAAATAAAATATAATATAAAACTATAAAATAATAAAAATGAATAGCATGGGAGTGAATGTGTGGGGCAGCAATGGGTTTTAACTGTGGGCTGCACTCCCTCCCAATGTGACATCATGGTTTACACACAGCGCAGAGCAGCAACCACACGTCTGTGAGTTAACTGGTTCACTGTTTGGCTGAAGTTGGACTTACAAACAAGCCTCAGGAACGTAACTCGTTCATAAGTAGAGGAGCACCTGTAGTTGATTTTGGAGGAATTATTATTATTATTTCATTTTGGTGCTGGTTAGTTGAATATACCAGATAACTGGGATTCAGCTGTATTGTGGTTTCTTTGTTTGATGACTCTCCCCCAAGATACAATATTGGTGTTTTCTTGTCATTTTATTCCTATTATTTTTCCCATTTATTATGTTATTCACTATCTGAATGGTTTTCAAGGAACCTAACCCATTTGGATAGCAAGGGATGCCTGTACATACAAATATAAATATTGAAAATCAAGGCCATTTATTCACAACCAGCAAATATTATTATTTATGAGCTCTACTTCTTGCAAGTCTGGACACATAAGAGCTGCTGGGAGTCAGATGTAAACAAACCCAAGATACGGTGCTATGTAGGCCTACCTAGGCAAGTTCATGCAATAAATATTAATTGTCAATTCATGCGAGTTAAATTGAGACCACAATTAACAGATTTAATTTTACTGCTAAAATAATTCATATTTTTTTTTCCTCAAGGCTATACTGATTTTTAAGTAATGAAACTACTGTATTTAATGGGTTGTCACTTTATATTTATACCAGAACACTTTGAAAATTTTGCATAAAATGAATATACACAGTTCATAATATTCTGAACAATCTTTTTTTTTAAGGCCATAAGATTGAAGTGTTTAAATAAGAAATAAAGAGTAAATACATTCAATCAGTCTTCCTAAACAATAAAAATATCCCTAACTGTAAATTTCCATGAAATTTAAAAATGGTATAACACTGTGACAAAAGGCACACTCAAATAACTAAAAATACAACTATCATATCGGCTTTCACAGCATGTGGATTTCTGGGATTTACTATGATGGCTACACTGCCAGTTCTTTCTCTGGCCTTGGCTGTGACTATGCGACTAGCTGCAACCATCATCCCAATTATGGTCTTGGGCCATTGTTAACAAGGAACATGTTCCTCACTTTGTAACTGGTAAACAATTTTCACCACAGTACATTATGATGACATGGGAGGATGAATCCAAACATCATCTAATAACAGTAACTGACACCACAAACTATGGTAGCTAAAGACATACTAATAATTATCTGACATTACACTCTTAAATAGATTTGGCATTACTAAAACTTTAAGCTACTGTCATGTGTACAACACTAGTAAACTCTTCCTCAGCTACCTGGATCACAGTTCTCTTGTAAAATTGAAGTTTATTATCACCAATTTTATCCTTTTAAGGCATACAAGGCTGGAACTGAAGAAAAAATTCTAGATAGAATTATCCCTTATTCACTTCAACACTGATAAAACATTGCTGGTTACTGACAACACGACAACTTATACACTATAATGATTAGCATACTTGAGCTTATACCAAAACAGCACTTATCAATCATACCTTCAATAAAGTTAGGTGCCACTAGAGTTATTGCCAAGTATATTTTCAGAGCAGAGAAACATATAAACAAAAGTTCCAATCTTGAAGATACTTAGGATAAAAATGGTAATTTTTAGAAGGATCGTGCAGGTCGTTTACTGGGTTCTGAAGTTGTGCTTGTAGGCTTCTCATTGCGTGGTGAAGTTTCCCCCTTGGAAGACTGGGAAGGTGGTCTCTCCTTTAATGAAATACATGAAAACAATATGAATTTTAACACACAGAAACACCAATCAAGATACGGCCTACCTCTGTGTATTTGTGTGTCCTCATCAAAACAACCTTCCCATACATGTACTTTTCTAACTATAACCCATCATTTGCCTTTGGTCTTCCT